TCAGACCCAGACTAAGACCTCAGACCCAGACCCGGACCCGGACCCGGACCCGGACCCGGACTAAGACCTCAGACCCAGACCCAGACCCAGACTAAGACCCGGACCCGGACTAAGACCTCAGACCCAGACCCAGACTAAGACCCGGACCCAGACTAAGACCCAGACCCAGACCTCAGACCACAGACCACAGACCCAGACCCAGACTAAGACCCAGACCCAGACTAAGACCTCAGACCCGGGCCCAGACCCAGACTAAGACCTCAGACCCAGACCCAGACTAAGACCCAGACCCAGACTAAGACCTCAGACCCGGGCCCAGACCCAGACTAAGACCTCAGACCCAGACCCAGACCCAGACTAAGACCCGGACCCGGACTAAGACCTCAGACCCAGACCCAGACTAAGACCCGGACCCAGACTAAGACCCAGACCCAGACCTCAGACCACAGACCACAGACCCAGACCCAGACTAAGACCTCAGACCCAGACCCAGACTAAGACCCAGACCCAGACTAAGACCTCAGACCCAGACTAAGACCCAGACCCAGACTAAGACCTCAGACCCAGACCCAGACTAAGACCCAGACCAAGACCACAGACCCAGACCACAGACTCAGACTAAGACTACAGACTAAGAGCACAACCACAGACTAAGGCTAAAACCACAGACCTCAGACTAACACCACAGACCTTAGACCAAGACCTCAGACCACAGACTCAGACCCAGACTAAGACCACAGACCTCGACCACAGACCCAGACTAAGACCACAGACTCAGACCTAGACTAAGACCTCAGACCACTGACTCAGACCACAGACTAAGACCTCAGACCCAGACTAAAACCCCAGACCCAGACCCAGACTAAGACCTCAGACCCAGACCCAGACCACAGACTCAGACTAAGACCACAGACTAAGGCTAAAACCACAGACCTCAGACTAACACCACAGACCTTAGACCAAGACCTCAGACCACAGACTCAGACCACAGACTAAGACCTCAGACCCAGACTAAAACCACAGACCTGGACTAAGACCACACACCTAGACCAAGACCTTAGACCTCAGACTAAGACCAAAGACTAAGACCACAGACCTCAGACTTAGACCACAGACCTAGACTTAGACCTCAGACTCAGACCACAGACTCAGACCACAGACTCAGACCACAGACCCAGACCACAGACTCAGACTAAGACCACAGACCTCGACCACAGACCCAGACTCAGACCACAGACTCAGACCACAGACCCAGACTCAGACCTCAGACTCAGGACCAGTTTACTGACTTAGACCAGGTTCAAGACTCTCCATCCTCATGGCCTTTCTCAGATTCTGGACTCTCCAGGTTTCACTGAACTGTTGTGGTTTTTCCTGGAACTTGGATCAGCTGATCAGACCATTTGGTTTCCAATCAGCACATACGAGTGAACGAGAGGACACATCATCGTCACATCTGTCCAGCTGTGAAAACCTTTGAGCTGGAATCATAAAGGAACCTTAAACAGGATGTGTGATACGTGTGATTTTATATCCATCCCACAGCCTGTCAGTATATGTTGATAGAAACAGAATGTGAAGACACGTTAAAAATGAATGAGAAAAACCTTTATTAACATATTTTAGTTCCAGGGTAATTGATTGACTCCAAAAAGGTATCTGGTCGGGGAGTAGTACTTTCCAAAGGTTCAGGAACTTTAGAGGGTGTGGTCTGCAGTCCTGAACATTGGCTAGGGTTGCCACCCATCACGTGTAATATGGGATCGTCCCGTATTTGAAAATAAAATGCCCAAATCCCATATTTTTATTCATGTTATGTCCTCAAAGTGCTGTGAATAATGTAATGTTAAGTAATAATTTTGCATAATCTTCCCGGGACTTTAGGCCGCCTTGGAAACGCAAACAACAATGGCCACAGGAACCTTTTAGTTCCTGAAGAACTAACTAAAAGTTCCAGGTACTTTTTGGTTGAAGCGCGGCTTAAATCTGAGGTTCAGGTTTACAGACTTTTAAAGTGTGGACGTGGAGCACAGTAAACACACCATAACACAGTGTAAGAGGTGAAATCTAAATGTACTGTGTGTGCACTCGAGTTAAAACCCTGACGTGCGCTCTGTAAACTGTCCTGGTGCTCCACTGTCCTCACAGAAAGGTTCCACCTTTTTCTTCACCTCAGGTAACGTAGAAAAACAGGTGTGGCTGTTGAGGAAATTTAAATACATTTATAATTTATAGTTGGACTGTAGCCTGCAGAGGTGGAAACTGGACACTTCCTGTTTTATTATTATTATTTGATATTTTATAGACTAATCGATTAATCAAATGATCAGAAACAATCATTAGAATAATTAATAAAGAAAGTGATCAATAGTTGCAGTCCTGATTGTGTGTGATAATAATTACTGATAATTACCTATCAACATAAATCGGCTGGTTATTTTAGCACTGGATGATACTGAATATGAATGAATAAATTAGTCACACAATCATCGTAATCAGCTGCAACATTAAAACACTGTTCACACAATAACACGTAGTGATAAACGTTTAACCTGCTCACACTTCACTAACTTTACAAACACAGTTTAAATCCTCTCTCCAAATCGCCTCCACTGAGATGAACAAACCATCAGTAACTGATATGAAGACATGGAGAAATTAACAACACAGGTGAAGAGTATTCACATCATTTACTGCAGCAGCAAGAGAGGAAATACTCTGTCCAAGTAAAAGTTCAGGGACCAGATGCATAAAACTCTGTCTACACATTCTTTACATCAGAATTATAAAGCCGTGTATTCACATGGTTCACACTCATGTGGCCGAGCCTCATTTCCACTCCCATAATTCTCCATTTATGGATGAAGACTCTCTCTTAATCAATCAGTTTGAATAAAAAGAAGTGATCAGACACAGAGAAGAAAGACGAGACTGAAGAACAAACTGAGGTAAAAACATTATCAGTTTACTTTAGGACAATCATTTTAATTTAAGTCCTGTTTTACTCTGAGCTTCATTTACTGGGACTAGTCTTAACGAGGCTCCAGAGGCTCCGACACTGTGATCAGTCAATATTAAAATAGTATCAAACAGTAACACAGTGACTCACAATAAATAATAAGGACATTAAACACAATTATTTATGTTTATGAAATGTTAAATTGTAAAACTTATGAACAATTATGATAATGAAAGAAGCTCAGTGAAGTTAGTTATTTTATTTTGTATTTTCACAGTAACTTGGATCTCTTTAGAAAACAGTGTTCACATGGTCAAAGGAATGAGTGAGGTGTTTATGAAGACCAGTTTTTGAGTGGGAAACGGCATACACATGGTTTTAGTGTGTATGCATCATTTATGTATCTGGACCCTGGTCTGAAAATGACCCTGACTGTATCAGAATAATGTTCATAAGGTGTTAATGTAAAGGTAGTGAAGAACAATGCTGTGACTGTTTCACTGTCATGTTACTGTGACCCAGGATTTTACTGCTGTAATCATTATGTTTATAATATATGAATAATGATCAATTTCATTGTAGGTGAATCTTCTGATTGTTTCTATATTAATCACTTGTTTACTTTCAGAATTCAGAAAATAATGAGAAGTGCTGTTGTTATGACCCAGAGCTCAAAGTGACTCATTAACAACGTTCATTTAGTCAAATTCATTTAAAAAATAAAAAAAAATCATTTAAATTAAATAATAATAAATAAATAAAACAAATCTTCACAAGAGGAAAAGATGTTTTACATGAAAATGTTACTTTTATTGTGGATTCATTTCATCTCCAATGATCAATGTTCCAGTTTGTATTTATTTTAGCAGCCGAGGAGTAAACAGGAAGAAAATACTACAGGTGACACACAGATGCCTCACCTGTGTACAGGTACCTCAGATCTAAATCTAGATGACATTAGTTACAGGTGACTCAACTGGTGACTGAGGTTAGTTAACAGTCTGGTTACAGACTGAAAAACAAACTGAACACGATCAGATCATCTGTGACTTTGACAATAAAAACCAACATTTAAACTTTGTTTCCAGAAGTTATCCGACTAACTGACAACGTCATAACATCTACAACAACTAACTTACCAACGAAACAATTAAATTAACGATATAAAACCGTTTTATTTCGAGCTGTTGACCAAAAACACGATAAACTCTCCCTCTGTAGCCTACCTGTAGAAGCTAACGAAGAGTTAGCATCAACACTGCTAACCTGAAGTTTAAACGTTAGCCGCTCGTATCGTACAGCGAGAAATGTGATTATTGAGTAAAAAGTGATTGACATCGATTTGTTTTGATTGGATAATGTTTCTATCGTGTCAGATTCGCTCAGACTATAATTACAGACGAGCTGTGTCAACTATGCAGCTAAGTCAGCTATCCGAGGAATGCGGCTAACGAGCGACCAACAGTGAATATCTTCCCCAAACTGCGTTGAAACGCTCTAGAAAAACAACCACTGAATTAATGCGGGTCTCTGAGCTCCGTGGGGGGGGGGGGCACACACTAATGTCCGTTTAACAAACAAAAAACAGACAAACTTCGCGCCGCAGCGAAGGTGAAACAAACTTTTTCCACGACAGCAGCCAGTAGGATCCGTCTATTCTCTGGCGCCAACACACACACACACACACACACACACACACACACACACACACACACACACAAAATCTGTTCGCCGAATTCCCGACAGTATATGGTGATTTATGCTCTCACCACACACACACACACACACACACACACACACACACACACACACACACACACACACACACACACACACACACACACACACACTGCTGTATACGTTAAACACACACAGCTAATTTACAGATATACATAAGCTCTAGTAAAAATTTCAACGTCTATTTTAAACGCGATAAATCGTAAACACAAAGAGAGCGTTTGCTCCAGAGAGTAGACGGAGCCTGAAAGTCGGGCTCAGACCCGCAGGCAGGGAGTGAAGTTTAGGATTGATCCTGCTTTACCTCTCTTTCCTCCCGCTTCCTTCGCTCTCTCCAGGAGACGAGTCTCTTCTTTCGACGCTAGTTCATCGCAGTAACTCCGGTCCACATTCCCGCAGCTTTGTAACCAGACACAGGCGTTTAATCCCACCGATTCTTGTGTAAAGTCTCCTGCGTCGGGCTCGTCGACTCTCCGCTCCGTGGTTCGGCTGTTTGATGGTGAACAGAGCAAATACCAGCCTCTCAAAGATCGTCTGCGACGTGGAGATGGATCACTCGGTGGTTAAAAGTAAATCCCCGGGAGGAGATCTGTGCTCTTTGTTACCTGTTCACTTCAGAACAAACGGCTGTTCATGACTCAGCGATGACTGAAGCTGGTTAATGTTAATATTGTGTCATTCATTAACATCCGGTTGTGTAGTTGTGTACATGTGTAGTTGTGTAGTTGTGTACATGTGTAGATGTGTAGTTGTGTGGAAATGACACAGTGACCTTTTCCTCACTGCAGCACTGAGGACATTTAACTACGTTTACTCCAGCACTCTGCTCGTTTATTTATTTTCACTTACTTCATTGGAATATTTCTGTTTTCTGATTCTTTATATTTGTTCTCCACAGTCAGAGAAAAACATGATCTTTTCCTGTTCTACATTTATTTACAGCTTTACAGCTCACTTCACAAATTAATGTTTTTAATACAAAACATATGAAGAACTTATAAAATATGAAGCTTTGTTATAAATTAAATGACACAACAGTAAATACAAGTACAGCACATTTTCTATTCCAGCAGTAATTAGCATTAGCTTTCCAGCTGCAACATCAAAGTGACATGTAGATTATAATCATACACTTGATTCCACATAAGACTTACCGGAGTGCTCTGAGTTCTTTAGCTGCTGCGTCTGTTTCTGGACCTTTCTCAGATGAGGGTGAGTTATGCTGAACAGTTCAAGACGAATACACAGTCAGTGTTTCAGACTCAACACTTTTATTCTTACAGTGTGGACACAGCCTTCAGATCATTGTGTTGGAAAATAACCTGCACAGAAAATATACATGAATCTTTGCAGAAATAAAATGTTTGAATCAGTTTCTTTATGTCTCTCTCAAATTAAATCGAAGGCAACTGGACTTGTATTTGTCTGTGGAAGACGTTTTGCCTCTTATCCAAGCGGCTTCATCAGTTCATCATGTATTGGTCTCTCTAGTCCGCACTAGTCTGATGTGACTAGAGAGACCAATACATGATGAACTGATGAAGCCGCTTGGATAAGAGGCGAAACGTCTTCCACAGACAAATACAAGTCCAGTTGCCTTCGATTTAATTTGAGAGAGAGATAACTATGACCTGGACGAATGAGAACATTCACAGACAGTTTCTTTATGACTTTCTCACAGGTGTTAACTCCTGTATAAACATTCACTCACATGCTTTCAAAACCAAGGTCCACTTACTGTTTCCTGACCTTTCAACCACATCTCACTGTTGAAGCCATCACTATGACAACTGAGAAAACTACACTCATGATGAAGAAGTAGTGATGCAGTTGAAAGGTCCAGTGAGAGGACCTTGAGTTGATATTATTTTCTCAGACTATTTAAACCTGTAGTTTTACATCTCCTCTCTCAGGCTTCTCTCTGGAGCTCTAGTAACAACAGGTCGGTGAGCCAATCAGAAGAGAGGAGGCTCTGAGCCTCTCTTCTGATTGGCTGACTGTTTTCTGACTGATCCAATAAAAATAAAGCAGATTTCAGGTAAAAACACTCAGAGAAACCAAATCCTGCAAGGTTTGGATGGTGGGTCCAGGTGGGCGGGGCTTGGTGACTGCTTTGTTGTGACATCACAAAGTTCCAGAAGTCCTGACGGCTGGTTTTAAGGCTCAGTTTCTGAATACAGGCTGTGTGCATTTCTCTGTGGACTGAGGCTTTGATACTTTCACAGTATTAATATAGAAGCTAGAGCTGATCTATAATCACACTACACATGGACACAGACCTTTACACTGGAGGAGCTTTAAATCTGAAATGATGTCTGAGTGGTGTTTACTATCTGAAAGCTGACGTTTTATTCATTACATCATTAATATTCATAGTTCTAGATATTTATTTAGCCTCCGACATAAATCTGCTGCCAGGGCCAGTGAAGTAATACAATAGAACTGCAGTAGAATTACAGTATTTTCTGGGAGGCTCCACTATATTGAGCGCTGACTGGTTTGTTTTTGGTCTCCCAACACGGAGGCAGAGTGAGAGCTCTTTGTTTTTTCCACCTCTGTGCTTCCAATCACAGCTGTACTGTTCAGTCCTGCAGAGAAACCTACTGGCTTTTATTTTGAAGTCCAATCTAAAGGCAATTCAGGCGCCCACTGGTGGTGGTGAAGTATTATTACTACTACTGCTACTACTACTACTACTACTACTAATAATAATAATAATAATAATAATAATAATAATAAGATTTCCATTTAGACACAGAGGAGCTGAATTCAGACATATTGATCACCATCTTTGTTTACTCTGAAAAAACATTGGTAACAGTTTCACCTCTGACTGACCTATATATTAATTTTGTTTCTTTTCCTTTTCTTTATTAAATTGTTTTTATAAATTTTTATTCTTATTTTATTCTTTTGCAGAGTCTTTAGTAAATATGTTGTTCATTCTTTACCCTGCCAGTATCTGTGAATATAAATAGGTAAAATGTGTTTGTATGTGAGTGTCTTTGTGTACATATCATATTTTTTATAATTATTGTAACTAACAGTTTTAAAAAATGTTTCATAAACAGACAAATGTTTTCAAGTGTTTGAAGTGAAATTTATTTAAATTGCAACACAAACATTGTTTAAAAGCTGTAAATCAAAGTTTGACTGTAACTACAGCTTCATGTTTCGTTCCAGCTCAGTGACACAAACCAGTTCAAACACTGTGATTAATGAGAAACTGTGTTAATCACAAACTAATACTGACTCCTTCCACATGCTGTGACTCACTGTGACTAAGTGTTGTTCACATTCACTCCCTGAAAAACACACAAACTGTATAAAATGTCCAAAGTAAAAACTGTACACCAGCACAGACACCCAGAGACCTGAGAGTGTGTGCCGGTCAGAGACAGACCAGAACCGTAAGGCACAAAACTGCAAGGACAGAAACCACAGAAACTAGAGCCAGAGTTAAATCATCCATCAGTAAATCTGAGGCTCTGTTCACACTGAAGACCAAGCAAAACCAGGACCCGTTCACACTCCTCATGATGAAACATTTAGTTTACTTTGACTGCTCCACACCTTTAAAGGAGCAGTTTGTTCAAGTGCAGTTCCTCTAGTGGCCACCAGGTGCTGTCTCTGTTGATGTGAATGGGAAACTCAACAGTTTCTCTTTACAAATACAAGGAAGTTCTTGTTTTGGTGACACCTGTGGTTCCTGGTGTTAAACGTGTTGACACTGTGACCCAGCCAACATTCAGGTGGTCAGTCACATGTGGTTCTGTTAGTGGAGACAGACACTCTGACATCTTCTTATAAAGCACTTTAGCTACACCTGTAAAGATTCATTTACCTGGAACACGTCACGTTCTTTCCAAAGTGAATTTGATTCAATTATTAAGAGAGAAAACGACTCCACCAACATGTTTCCTGTCACCTTGTTTTTTTTATGAGATACAAGTTGTTTCTTACGGAGCCTCCAAAGTGTCAAAAGATGATATTTTTATAGATACTTTTTATCCTGCAATAATCATTCATTCATAAAAAAGACCAGCAGTGTGAACAGAGCCACTGTAATAAACATTCAAGCTCCTAGAGTTTTTTACAGTGTAAATACAAAAAAAATCCATCTTCGAAATCAACATTTAAAATGATAAAACAGCTGATGACGTGATGAGCTCCGAGCAGTGAGCGTAGATTAGTTTTTAAATAAATATCACACACAGTCAATAAATATGAAATTCAGTTCATCTGTAGTGTAGCACCTATTGTCGGTGAAGATTAGTATCTACACATCAGCACTCTGCAGCAGCCTCACCTGGAAAACATCTCCAATACACCGAAACACTGTGAGAGATCAGCACTGAGCCTGATACCATGAGTCTGGGACCAGATCAGTGGTCCAGATCCGTCTCTTGTTATGAATGAACAGAGTCCTCACACAGAGTCAAGTGGTCTTGGACCAGGTTTTCACACAGATAAGGTTTCTTCATGTACTGCTGTGCTGCTCAGTTCACTGTCACACTGCTGGAGTCAGACCACTTCAGACTAGACCACCACCAGATCTGCCCAAGTCTGAGTACAGACCCAGTCCAAGACTGGTTTCAGGACTGGACCATGTTCTGTTTAAAAGCAAAAGAAGAAGTAAACCAGTTCTATCTTTCACTGTTCTAGATTCTGTTCAGTCTATGGTTTAATATTTTTGAGCTCAACTAAACGTTCATATTTTATTTTTTAAAAGTTATAAAAAAGTTTAAACAGTCACATGACCAAGATTTGATGACGACAACATTCACACTACAGCTGTGAACTCCTCTATGGAGTGTTGAGCGTGCCACTGGTATAATTATAGAAATTTTCTGTCTAATTATCAATTACTAAATTATGAATTAAAAAAAACACTTAAATATTATTAAACATAAGTTAATAAAAGAGATTAAAATAAGAAAGAGAAATTAAATTTACTAAATAATACTTTTATTTCCTATTTTGTTTATAAATAATAAAATTGTAATCTAATTTAAAAAATGTATGTTTTTAATTAAATTTATTGCAAAATACATTTCAAAATGTAATGTAATGTAAATGTAATTTCTAATACATCACTTTAAGACAAAAAAGTGAAGACAGTTGTTAAAATATATATTTCATTTACATTTGTTCATTTATTTCATGTGGCACTCTCCAGACTCCATACGACCTCCATGTGTGAACTGAGCAGCTGAGCAGTGACATCACAGGAAGGAAGCAGATGAACAGAGGAAACTTCCTGAAGCAGAATCTTTTCAAACATTAATATTAACGCACAAAGAAAAAGTCTCACACCAAAGTGTATTTTGCATAAAGAGCGTTTACACACGTCTGTAAAAGTTGTCGCTTGTGTTCGTCGTGCAGTCGGGGGTGGCGTCCGGGGGGGTGGGGGGGTGGCGATGAGGCAGCAGATCCACAGGTAGACGGCAGGTCTACACGTTGATGGCGTGAGCATGCTTCTTGCACAGAGGTTTGTCCTTCTTTGAGTAGAAAGGTTGACCCTCCAGGTTCACATGGCAGACCTGCGGGTAGACCAGGAGACAGTGAAGGCCACACTGAGAGGCATCGACAGATCTGCTCTGTATCTTCTAGTTCTGTCTGTCAGGATGATTAGAAATTATATTCATGCTGTTCACAGACATTAAACATCAGCAGCTGATTTTAAGGTTTGTCCTTTAATTAAAAACAACAATAATAATAATGAATATTTGTGGAGTCACACGACAGCTGGTAAAATGTTTCTCAGGATGAACATCTGTTTAAAATCTCCTAATAAAGAAAGACTGGACTCCAGCTGTCACCAAAATAAATGTGTCTTCACACTTTGAAATGATTCATGTGTGAAATAGATTTTCTTCTCTGTGAATATGTTTTTGTTCCAGTTGAACTCTGGTGAACTTTGAGATGTGTAATTGTTGATCTTAGTTGTTTGGATGTTTGAGGGATCAGAAGACCTGGATCAGCTCCTTCAGAGAAGGAGACCAGGTCTGGGTGGTGACAGGTTCTGGTTCTGGTTCTTACCGCACAGACGAAGCAGGTGTCATGCCAGGTGTGACCCAGAGCCTCAATGAACTTATCACCAGCTTCAACTGGGAAGTCACAGCCGTGACACTTAGTGCTGAAGAGAGCAATGTAATCTGAGGGGGACAGACAGAGGTATGTGATCAGTCACATGATCGGAGTCTGAGACGGCTGTGGTCCAGGTCCTGGACTGTACCTTTCTCACAGTACGGTTCTCCGTCCTCCATGTGGAACAGACTGTTTCCAAAAGCTTTACCACAGGCTGCGCAGACAAAGCAGGTGGTGTGCCACGTCTGCCGCAGGGCATGCATCACTTCCTGTAACACACCATACACACGGGTCTTTAGACAGCAGCCATGTACACCTGTCTACCTGTATACCTTTACACCTGTCTACCTCTCACCCCCATGATCTTGGTGTTGCAGCGAGCACAGGTGGGGGCAAAGAACTCCTCGTAGCAGTTCTCACAGTAAACGTTGTTCTGCTCCTCCACGAAGCTCACATCAGCCAGAGACATGTGGCAGTAGTGACAGTTAAACTCCTCAGGGTGCCAAGACCGGCCAAGGGCCACCAGGAAGGGGCCCCTGCAAACAACAACAACAACAACAACAACAACAACATGTGGTTATGGTCAGCTGACGTGTTTCCATCAGGATCATTAATCACACCTGCAGCTTCTCCTCTTTCTTTTTTTCTTCCTTTTATTATGAACACATAAAAACGACTTGCTCACAGAAGAGTGTTCATACTGAAGTATATAAACTCATCCACATAAAGACAAACTAAATAATAATAATAATAATAATAATAATAATACCTTGATTAAAATTGTGATCATATTTGTTGTATTTTATATAGATTTGTGATGAATAATGGAAATGGTTTAAGTTTTTTTTTAGTTAATATCATAATTAAATATGTTGTTTGGTAATTATTATTGGTTATTTGTTATTGGTTATTAAACCTTAACATTGACCAAACATGGAAACTTTACCATCGACCTCCTCAATCTATAAATTAAAGAAAAGATTTCATGTTATCTGGTTTAATACTTTCATAGATTTTTAAACTCTGCAGATCATCCAATGAATATATTACTTTATGTTCTTACTTCATATAGATATAATTATACAGTTGAAGGAGGTGAATGTCGTCAGTTTTATGTAAATTAGATGATTATTAGTACAACTACAAAATTCCTGGAGGAATTTTGAATGCTCCTGCTGCTTGGTGCGTATCCATCACTTTTCATGTTTCAATCGCTACAGAGAACGTTACATCGATTTTCAGTCTTGGACACTTCTCCTAACTCTGACCTCAGTCACTGCAGGTCTCCCTCAAAAAGCCAAAATGACCTCATACTGATGGTTTCAAACCTAAACGTGTCCTCACAATCATAGAAAGACCTGTGCACACACACAGAACCACACAAGAACACGCACATACACAGTGTTGATTTGCATTGTAATTGCTGTTATAGCAATAGAGTAAAAAGGCTCAGTTAACCAATCTAATTAGCCAATCAGAATCAGCTTCGTCTTCAAACCATAAGGGATATCACAATGAAACCAACACTTGGTGATAGAGGACAAATTCTCTATGTTTCTATATATTAATTATCTATGAAGGTTGGAAATTGTTGGATTTAAAAGATGTTGTCAGATTTTTTTTTTGCAGAAAAGTTTCAGGGATGGCAGTTAGAGCGATGACATCACTGTCAATAAATACACACCCATTATAAAATCTGAAAAGTCGAAAAATCACACAAAATATATACTAAGACTTTATGAAAACCATAATAGTTATGAAAATACTGATTTAACCCAGAACAGTCTCTAATCTTGTGACCTGTTTAAAGTTTCAACCATGTTTCTACGTTAAACTACGACAAAGCAGTAGAGCTTCAAAAAGGCTTTGGTCATTTTCACGATGTCGCTCCATTCAAGCCGCACATTTTGAAATATACTTTGACTGGATGTTCTCAGAGCTGCAGAATGAGTTACGTGCCCAAATTTTTACGGAAGAATCAGTAACCCAGAAGAAGAAGAAGAAGAAGAAGAAGTATACAGGGTTATATATACCTTCTATGCTTTTCATAGATAACAACATTAACTCTCTGACGGTGAATAAACTGAGGTCTCAGGTGAGTTACCTGATGATGTTGTTGCAGGCTCCACACAGAGGCGTACGGCTGCTGGCGGCGAACCGCTCTGCCCTTTGGGCCACGCCCCTTGCCACTGGAGGGAAAGGGGCAGGGCTGGGGGTTATGGGGGCGGGGCTGGGAGCTGCTGGTGCAGCGGGGGAGGGGTTGGGGATGTATGCTGGTGGAGGAGGGGCAGCCTGGGGCAGCGGCTGCATCTTCATGGAGGTGGTGGTCTTACCGGGGTCGAACTTATCGGCAAAGCTGTTGTCAGTCACCCAGGGGGGTCTGTTAGAGGAGACACCAGCAGGGGAAGGGGCTGGAGGGTGGGGCTGAGGGTGGGGCTGAGGGTGGGGCTGATGGTGCGGCTGATAGTGGGGCTGATGGTGGGGTTGAGGGTGGGGTTGAGGGTGGGGCTGAGAGGGGACTGGACCTGGAGCTGGACCTGGGCCTGAGGGTGATGAAAACATTAAAAGCTTCTAATGACGAGGAGGAGACTAAGTGAACTTGTGGTTTCTGTTCTCACCTGGTTGGGAGGGGTAGATACAAGCGGTGCTCACCACCTTGGGAGGGGCGGAGCCAAGAGGGATCTGAATGGAGCTCTGCTGGGTGGGTGGGGCATGTTGTGTGGGGGGCTGATGGTACTGCTGCGGAACTGGCTGGTACTGCTGCGGGGGCAGGTCCTGTGGCGCCTGATGCATGATGGGAGGCTGAATGTACTGGCTGCAGAGGGAGGAAACACAGTGTTGGTCCTTCATTGGTTCAGGCTGTGTGTCTGTAGTGTGATGTCATCATTACAAGTTTATAACATGACAAACATCCAGACTGCAGCCTCAGTCTCAACACACAACACAAAGAGACAAAACAACAACAAAGAGACAAAACAACAACAAAGAGACAAAACAACAACAAAGAGACAAAACAAACACAAAGAGACAAAACAAATACAAAGAGACAAAACAAACACAAAGAGACAAAACAAATACAAAGAGACAAAACAACAACAAAGAGACAAAACAACAACAAAGAGACAAAACAAACACAAAGAGACAAAACAACTACAAAGAGACAAAACAACAACAAAGAGACAAAACAACAACAAAGAGACAAAACAAATACAAAGAGACAAAACAAACACAAAGAGACAAAACAACAACAAAGAGACAAAACAAACACAAAGAGACAAAACAACAACAAAGAGACAAAACAACAACAAAGAGACAAAACAACAACAAAGAGACAAAACAACAACAAAGAGACAAAACAACAACAAAGAGACAAAACAACAACAAAGAGACAAAACAAACACAAAGAGACAAAACAAATACAAAGAGACAAAACAACAACAAAGAGACAAAACAACAACAAAGAGACAAAACAAACACAAAGAGACAAAACAAATACAAAGAGACAAAACAAACACAAAGAGACAAAACAAACACAGAGACAAACAACTACAAAGAGACAGAAGGACTAAAAGGTCCTGCAGAGATGGGGGACACTTGGTCAGAGTCACAACACACTGTCCTTTGTTCAGTGACCTTTAATGAGGATTGCTGCTTTAACAAGAAGACATTTCGAACTTGTCACAGGGACCAAGCTGCAACAGTAGTTTCAACATTAAACTAAAACTCACCTGTGGCTCTGCTCAGGTGTTGGGCGCGGAGACAACTGGCTGACATAGAACTCTAGTTTCTGTGGTATTTACATTGTTAAAATATAGTCATGATTTGAGCCCATCTAGATATCACCTGATCTCACCTGTATCTGACTGGTGTAAATACACAACAGGTACACAAAGGTTAGTGAGAGTTTTAATAAAGGAAGCCTGACGTTAGCACACAGCCAGATACAACAACAGCTGTTTCATGAGGAGAGGTTCAGCCCGTTACTCAGAGGATGAAGTGATGAAGTTGTTATTTCTCAGCAATGAACCAACACTATAAGGGTTAGGGGTTCAATTCCCATCAAGGTTTCCAACTAATGATAAAGGCCTCAGGATGCTTCAAACTGGATTCTTCAATCAGGTGTGTGTGTGTGTGTGAGTGTGTGTGTGTGTGTGTGTGTGACTTGTGTGTTGTGTGTGTGTGTGGTGTGTGGTGTGTCGATGATCTCTCGAGAGAGACAGAGAGAGAGAGAGAGAGAGAACCACTTAGGAACCACCTGGAATACAGGTCTGAGAACACCTCAGGGACACCTCACACAGACCAGTTCATCAGACCAGTTCATCAGACCAGTTCCAGTGAAGCACACTGAGGCCTTAAACCCACTCATGGTTGTGTTTAATGGCAGGTGGGGAGATGTAACAGGGGGCAGCAGGAGGCAGATCGCTGCAGGTGTCTGTACCTGGAGACTGCAGCTGTGTGCTGGAGGCTGTAGCCAGAGACAGACTGTCGCTTCAGGCTGCAGGTGTAGAGACAACAACAACAGAGGTCACCATGACAACCTGCAACCTGCACAGGTCACCTGTACCTGCAGGATGTGGACTGGAGCAACAAATACTGCAGTTCCTCAGTGTTTTTTATCACAGATTCGCACAGACTGAGGGTCTACGTTATCTGTCATCAGCTGTTTCCATCACAGGCCTCTAAAGATAGTCAGTGGAGCAGGAGGAGTTTGGGGAGGAGGAGGAGGTGGAGAAGTACTGCCCTTAGCTTCATCAGGAGACACAAACACGATGACATCAACATGTCACAGGTTTTCACTCAGTTCACCATCAGCACCACACCAGCCCTCAAACAGCCAATGAACTGACACTTGGACTTTCCCACCAGCACTCGAACACAACACTTCTGGCTACCAACTCAAAATCCTCCAGTCGCAGAAATCCCAGATCCAAATCACAACCAAACTCACACTGACACACAACAGCCATCAACTGTACAGAGAGAGAGAAGGGTCAATATTTCACTACAAGTCACTAAAGTCACTTCAAATCCTCCAAAGAGTTTTTGTTTCTGATTTTGCTTTTGATTATTTTTTATTTGATTTTATTTCATATTGCTTTTTTTAAATGTGATGTTTTTTATGATTGTCTACAGAAATTTCCTGATGAATCCATGAACTTATTTTTCATGTTTCTCATGTCTCTAACATGTTTCTCATGTTTCTCATGTTTCTCATGTCTCTAACATGTTTCTCATGTTTCTCATGTCCTTAACATGTTTCTCATGTTTCTAACATGTTTCTCATGTTTCTCATGTCTCTAACATGTTTCTCATGTCTCTAACATGTCTCTCATGTTTGTCATGTCCCTAACATGTTTCTCATGTTTCTCATGTCTCTAACATGTTTCTCATGTTTCTCATGTCCTTAACATGTTTCTCATGTTTCTAACATGTTTCTCATGTTTCTCATGTCTCTACCTTGTTTCTCATGTCTCTAACATGTCTCTCATGTTTGTCATGTCCCTAACATGTTTCTCATGTTTCTCATGTCCCTAACATGTTTCTCATGTCTCTAACATGTTTCTCATGTCCCTAACATGTTTCTAACATGTTTCTCATGTCCCTAACATGTTTCTCATGTTTCTCATGTCTCTAACATGTTTCTCATATTTCTCATGTCCCTAACATGTTTCTCATGACTCTAACATGTTTCATGTTTGTCATGTCTCTAACATGTTTCTCATGTCTCTAACATGTCTCTAACATGTCTCTAACATGTTTGTCATGTCTCTAACATGTTTCTCATGTTTGTCATGTCTCTAACACATTTCTCATGTTTCTCATGTTTGTCATGTCTCTAACATGTTTCTCATGTCCCTAACATGTTTCTCATGTTTCTAACATGTTTCTCATGTCCCTAACATGTTTCTCATGTCTCTAACATGTTTCTCATGTTTCTCATGTCTCTAACATGTTTCTCATATTTCTCATGTCCCTAACATGTTTCTCATGACTCTAACATGTTTCATGTTTGTCATGTCTCTAACATGTTTCTCATGTCTCTAACATGTCTCTAACATGTCTCTAACATGTTTGTCATGTCTCTAACATGTTTCTCATGTTTGTCATGTCTCTAACACATTTCTCATGTTTCTCATGTTTGTCATGTCTCTAACATGTTTCTCATGTCCCTAACATGTTTCTCATGTCTCTAACATGTTTCTCATGTCTCTAAGCTGTTTCTCATGTTTTTTATGTCCCTACCATGTTTCTCATGTCTCTAACACGTTTTTCATGTTACTCATGTCTCTAACATGTTTCTCATGTTTGTCATGTCTCTAACATGTTTCTCATGTTTGTCATGTCTCTAACATGTTTCTCATGTTTGTCATGTCTCTAACATGTTTCTCATGTTTGTCATGTCTCTAACATGTTTCTCATGTTTGTCATGTCTCTAACATGTTTCTCATGTTTGTCATGTCTCTAACATGTTTCTCATGTTTGTCATGTCTCTAACATGTTTCTCATGTTTGTCATGTCTCTAACATGTTTCTCATGTTTGTCATGTCTCTAACATGTTTCTCATGTTTGTCATGTCTCTAACATGTTTCTCATGTTTGTCATGTCTCTAACATGTTTCTCATGTTTGTCATGTCTCTAACATGTTTCTCATGTTTGTCATGTCTCTAACATGTTTCTCATGTTTGTCATGTCTCTAACATGTTTCTCATGTTTGTCATGTCTCTAACATGTTTCTCATGTTTGTCATGTCTCTAACATGTTTCTCATGTTTGTCATGTCTCTAACATGTTTCTCATGTTTGTCATGTCTCTAACATGTTTCTCATGTTTGTCATGTCTCTAACATGTTTCTCATGTTTGTCATGTCTCTAACATGTTTCTCATGTTTGTCATGTCTCTAACATGTTTCTCATGTTTGTCATGTCTCTAACATGTTTCTCATGTTTGTCATGTCTCTAACATGTTTCTCATGTTTCTCATGTCTCTAACACATTTCTCATGTCTCTTAACACTTTTCCCATGTTTCTCATGTCTCTAACATGTTTCTCATGTTTGTCAAGTGTGTCTGGATCACTCAGGTTGTATCTGCAGCTGAATGTGAGCAGCTTCCTTCAGAGACTCAGAGACCAGGAAATAAAACCATAGACTCTTTACTGGAGGATAAAAGCTCAACCTCTGCTCCTATTGATTCATGCTGAGTCATTGGGCGACGAATAGAGTCTGACAAGGGACAGTGTGTGTGTGTGTGTGTGTGTGTGTGTGTGTGTGTGTGTGTGTGTGTGTGTGTGTGGTTGTATTTCAGGAGGAAGCAGCAGGGATTGATTATGCATTATGGAGAGATGATTAAATAAGTGCACGGAGAAGAGAAAATTCCATCCATCAGTGTAGAGACAGGAGCAGGAGGAAGAGAAGAGGAGGGGGAGGAGGAAGAGAGTGTGTGTGTGTCCTCTGCTTCAACATGTTGTTACCTGTTATTTAATTATATTCATACAATTTACCTGAAATATTGATTATTACTTTGGTTCATTGATCCTCTGTCTCTGTGTATCTAAGTTTTGGAGGGAAAATGTCATGTTGAAACTGAAAAGTGACTCAGCCCTCATGCTCCCCCCTGTAGTCAGACCAGCTCATCACGTTATTTCTTCTCCTGTGGGTGTAACTGGGTACCTGTGGTAACAAAGTAACCGTGGTAACAGAGCAAACGTGGTGACAGAGTAACCGTGGTAACGGAGCAGTTACTCATTCTGAGGTAAATATTTTTCTTTTTTTTACAGATTCAGATTAAAAATACTGAAGCTCTTTATGAACACTGAGTGGAGCCTGACACCTGGCCGGGGGTTGAGGGGGTTCAGGTGGGGGGAGGGGTGTGTTGGGAGGCCGGGCAGAGGTGTGTGGGGCGGGGCAGAGTGAACAGGTGAGGAGGCGGGGTCAGCATCTGTGTAGTGGAGCTCTGCTGCCTACCTGCTCCTCCTCAGCTCCTCCTCCTCCTCCGGTGCTGTAACAGAGAGAAGACACAGGAGAGGAGATATTACTGAGCATGCTCAGTGTGCACAGATTGTTCAAACAGGTGTGAGGCAGGTGAATGAATTTAATGAAAGAAGAGCATCACAGTAAAGAGACTCACTGAGAACGACTTGAACCTTTAAGTCAAAACATGAATGAATCCTGAACTTCCCATGAAGAATTAAAAATAAAATGTCTCTGTGACTTGAATAAGTTTATTATCATTATCATTATCATTATCATTATTATTGTTACATGAGGAACAGGAAACTTACAGGACTCGGTTCCAGTCATGTGGGCCAGGACCCTGAAGGACTTGGACTGCATGTTGCTGCAGCGGCCCCACTCCCCCAGGTCCAGGTCTTTCTCTGCAGTCTGGACGGCCTGGTAGACCATGGAGGCTCTGTCTACATCTTTAACTGGGACAGTACTGCAACCACACCCCCACCACAACCACAGAGTCAAGCCCAGGACCTGAAGAGCAGCTTCAGTCCTGGACTGAGTCACTATGAGCCATGAGGAAACTGATCTTTCATAAATATATCAATATAAAATACTGAGCTGGTGCTGATTCAACATGACGATGAAACAGAGGAAGCTGAAGTCAAAGGACAGTGACTAAGTTTAAACCAGTGATGAGGAGCAGAAGATACAGATACACAGATACAGACCAGTAACACAAGTAAGTCCAGTGAAACCAGAAAGACCAGTAAGACGTGAGACCAGTAAGACCATTGAGACCAGCAACAGAAGGAGGAGGAGTTGCTCAGAACATTCATTGAACAGTAAGACCAGTGAGACCAAAAGACGTGTGAGACCAGTAAGACCAGTAAGACCATTTGAGGGGGAGCAAGAAAATGGGGGGAAGGAGGAAGAGGAGCAGGAGGGGGAGGCGGAGGAGCAGTGGGAGGAGGAGCAGGAGGGAGAGGAGGAGCAGGAGCAGGAAGTAGTGCTATTACCCGACGTCGGGCCCCTTGCCCTGCGTCTGTCCTGCAATGGCGTCCATGATGGCGTCCTGTGAGTACATGCTGATGGGCGTGTTGTACTGGGCATGGATGATGGTGGCCTTCCCCCCAGGGCCCTTCACCTCTATGGGCTTATGGGTAGAGAGGGCGGTGTCCTTCAGCACGCCGGGGTTGAAGCCGGCGCTGTGGGTGGTGATGGGAGGGGTGGGGGGGTGGGGGGGTTGGACAAGGTTAAAGGTGAAAGGTCATGGTGCAGGTGATGGGGTTTGTGTTGTGATGCTCATGGCCACAGCAAACACACAAAGACAGAGGAGGAGGAGGAGGAGGGAGAAAAGGAGGAGGAAGAGGAGGAGGAGGAAGATGAGGAAGAGGAGGTGCGGCAGAGGAGGAGGGAGAGGGGGAGGGGTAGGGGAGGGGAGGGGGAGGGGTGAGGAAGAATGAGGAAGAGAGAAAGACGTGGGAGGAGAGGAGGAGGGGTAGGGGAGGGGAGGGGAGGAAGATGAGGAAGAGGAGGTGGGGAGGAGGAGGAGAGGGAGAGGGGAGGGGGAGGAAGATGAGGAAGAGGAGGTGTGGGAGAGGAGGAGGGGATCGGGGGAGGGGAAGGGGAGGGGAGAAAGATGAGGAAGAGGAGTGGTGGGAGAGGAGGGAGGGAGAAGGGGGAGGGGGAGGGGGGAGGGGGAGGCGGGCAGGAAGATGAGGAAGGGAGGTGTGGGAGAGGAGGCGAGGGGGGAGGGGGAGTAGCTAAGAGGGGGAGGGGGAGTAAAGAATGAGGAAAGAAGGAGGTGTGGGAGAGGAGGAGGAGTGGGGAGGGGGAGGGGGGAGGGGAGGGGGAGGAAGATGAGGAAGAGGAGGTGTGGGAGAGGAGGGAGAGGGGGAGGGGGAGGGGGAGGGGGAGCCTCAGAAAAAGACAGACTGTGACACCTTGATCAACTCATGACACTGTCTCTACATTTACATATTTGGAATGAATGAGTGAATAAATGAATGGATGGATGGTTGGATGAGTGAATGAATGAATGGATGGATGAGTGAGTGAATGAATGAATGAGTGAATAAATGAATGGATGGATGGTTGGATGAGTGAATGAATGAATGGATGATGGATCGATGAGTGAATGAATGAGTGAGTGAAGGAATGGATAGATGGATGGATGGATGGATGGATGGATGTGTGAATTAATGAATGAATGAATGGATGATGCATTGATGAGTGAATGAATGGATGAGTGAACGAACGGATGGATGGATGAGTGACTGAATGTATGAATGGATGGATGGATGAGTGAATGAATGAATGAATGGATAGATGAATGAATGAATGAACGGATGGATGAGTGAATGAATGAGTCTCCAGTCTGAACAGAGGACAAGTTTGACCTTTAAATCAAAGATCACAGCAGCTCAGACTGAACTTTACTGTCTTTGACAGAAGATGGTGATTCATCAGCTCATTAATTATTCATCAGCTGGAGACTCGTTTTTTTATTTTTATTTTAAAAAACAACAACAACGACAACACCAGCAGCTTGTCACTCTGAAACCAAACGATGCACATGCCCTCACTATCAACACAAACAAACAACAAAGAAACTGTGCAAACAGAGTAGACAACAGAAAAACAACAGAGAAACAACAAACAAACAACAGAGTAAACAACAAACAACAGAGAAACAACAAATAAACAAACAATAACAAAATCATAGCAAACAACAGAGTAAACAACAAATAAACAAACAACAGACAAACAAAAACAAAAAACAGTAAACAACAGAGTAAACAACAAACAACAGACAAACAAAAACAAAAAACATAGTAAACAACAGAGTAAACAACAAACAACAGAGTAAACAACAAACAACAAAGAAACAACAAATAAACAACAGACAAAGAAAAAACAAAAAACAGAGCAAACAACAGAGTAGACAACAAACAAACAACAGACAAACAACAGACAAACAACAAAGTAAACAACAGACAAACAAACAACAGAGTTAACAACAGACAAACAACAGACAAACAAACAACAGAGTAAACAACAAACAACAGACAAACAACAAAGTAAACAACAGACAAACAAACAACAGAGTAAACAACAGACAAACAACAGACAAACAACAAAGTAAACAACAGACAAACAAACAACAGACAAACAACAGAGTAAACAACAAACTAACAGCAGGCGGGAGCAGAGGATACTAACTTGGGAGCAGTGGGGGAGAAAACCTGGTTCAGTCCAGAGAAAAGAGAGAGAGAGAAAAGAGAGAGAGAGTCATTACATCACAGTCACTGTGTTTGTGAGTCCAGCTCTGAGTCCTCCAGTTACAACAGAACTACAACCTCCATCAGCTAAAGAGAAGAAGACACAAAGGTCAGAGGTCAGAGGTCAGAGACAGACGAGTCTTCTCCTGCAGAGAGGTCAGATTAGAGAATGAGGAAACAAATTGTCACTCACCACAGACAACAAGACTTTTATTGTGAAGGTACTGTCATCAACTGTTCAAACACAGGGTCACAGGGTCACTGACAGTTACAGTAGATCATGTGACTGATCATGTGTGGTGTTTGATTAGCAGGTTCAGACTCATGCTCTGACTGTGAATGATTCAGATTCACTTCCTGTTTCCTGTTTGTTTCTGTGAAGTTCACACACATTCTCAAACTTCTACTTTAATATCATATGATTTAATCAGAGCTACAATTATTAGAGCTGCAATGATCAATAAATGTATCAATTAGTCGATCAGTTAATCTGTAAGTAATCATTTCATTTCAATCAAAAATGTCCAATTTTCTCTGATTCTGTCTCTGAATATACAAAATAAATGTGTGTGTGTGTGTGTACTGTAATACTCAAGTGTGTGTGTGTGTGTACTGTAATACTCAAGCATGTGTGTGTGTGTGAGTGTGTGTACTGTAATACTCAAGTGTTTGTGTGTGAGCGTACTGTAATACTCAAGCGTGTGTGTGTGTGTGTGTGTGTGTACCGTAATACTCAAGTGTGTGTGTGTGTGTACTGTAATACTCACGCGTGTGTGTGTGTGTGTGTGTGTGTACCGTAATACTCAAGTGTGTGTGTGTGTGTACTGTAATACTCACGCGTGTGTGTGTGTGTGTGTGTGTGTACCGTAATACTCGTGTGTCTAGAAGGTTCCCTAACCTTTTACAGCAGCCAGAGAAACCAACAGGTGTTTGGCTTCTTCAGTGACACAGTAACTGAACCGAGTGTGTGTGTGTGTGTGTGTGTGTGTGTGTGTGTGTGTGAGAGAGATTATGAATAATTATGGTAACAGTCATATGTCACCTCTCATCACAGCTTTACAGTGGGGGCTTAAAGTGAAAGTGTGTATTTTGATCTTTTACAGTGTGTGTGTGTGTGTGTGTGTGTGTGTTACTCATGTTGAGGGGACTCAACTTCCTGTCCCTGTAACATTTTAGGGTTGGGGTTATAATGGGTGTGTTGAATCCCAGAGGGACAGCTAATCCTCCTCCATTATTATCATCATCATCATCACTGAATCATCAAGTCTACATTTGTTTTCTTGTTTCACACGTGAGACAACGTTCAGTCTCTGCTGGTCCAGGTCTCTCTCAGATTCCAGCCCATGCTAAAACATTGAATGTTCTGATGAGCCCTCCTCTCTCCCTCTGTTCAGGGTCAAAGGTCAGCAGATATGAGTTGTATGGAAGCCATGCTGTGCTTACGTGTTGTTCAATGTGTCCGGATAAAGTGGGAGGAGTTTCAGAGGCAGAGCTGCTGCTGAGGAGCAGATAATGTAAACTGAGATAAACAGATGATGTTTGTCTCAGTGCTAACTGCTAACTGCTAACTGTTAATCTACAGAGGCCCGAGCTGCAAAACACAACAAAACAAAAACAAAACAGAAAACTCTTTGTTGTTGTGACTTCTCTTTATTCTTATGTTTTGTGTTTTGTCTGTTGTTTTGATTTCAGTTTTTTGTTGTTTTGTTTTTGCAGCTCAGCTTCTCCATAGATTTGACAAACCTCAACAATAAATATAAGTTATAGTTAAAATATAATCAAGATTTAACTTTAGTTTATTCATTACTGATCTGAGCTCAGAATCTGGAAACTCAGGTATACTAACAGGTATGTTATAACTAAACCAAACAGAACACCAGTACATCTTTCCCAGAATGCGGGAATAAATTAGCTCCATAGAATGCTTCTTTATAAAAGAAAAATAGATATTTATATAACTGTACACCTTATCTATACAGCATAAAGACAGGGAGCACAGTAAGAAGGGAAATTATCTCCAGAAATAAGACACAATAGGATTCTGGCTTAAGCACCCTTATCCCTCCAACGCACGCGCTGCTCAACTCCTTTATTCGCAGCAACATGTATGTTAATAGGTATGTAAATAGGTATGCTAACAGGTATGCTAACAGGCATGCTAACAGGTGTGTTAACAGGTATGCTAACATGTATGTTAATAGGTAAGTTAACAGGTATGCTAACAGGCATGCTAACAGGTATGTTAACAGGTATGCTAACATGTATGTTAATAGGTAAGTTAACAGGTATGCTAACAGGCATGCTAACAGGTATGTTAATAGTTATGCTAATGACTATGTTAACAGGTATGCTAACAGGGATGCTAACATGTATGTTAATAGGTAAGTTAACAGGTATGCTAACAGGCATACTAACAGGGATGCTAACAGATATGCTAACAGGTATGCTAACAGGTATGCTAACATGTATGTTAATAGGTATGTTAACAGGTATGCTAACAGGTATGCTAACAGGCATACTAACAGGGATGCTAACAGGTATGCTAACATGTATGTTAATAGGTATGTTAACAGTATGCTAACTTGTATGTTAATAGGTATGTTAACAGGTATGCTAACTTGTATGTTAATAGGTATGTTAACAGGTATGCTAACTTGTATGTTAATAGGTATGTTAACAGTATGCTAACTTGTATGTTAATAGGTATGTTAACAGGTATGCTAACTTGTATGTTAATAGGTATGTTAACAGGTATGCTAACTTGTATGTTAATAGGTATGTTAACAGTATGCTAACTTGTATGTTAATAGGTATGTTAACAGGTATGCTAACTTGTATGTTAATAGGTATGTTAACAGTATGCCAACTTGTATGTTAATAGGTATGTTAACAGTATGCTAACTTGTATGTTAATAGGTATGTTAACAGGTATGCTAACTTGTATGTTAATAGGTATGTTAACAGGCACGCTAACAGGTATGTTAATAGGTATGTTTAACAGGTATGCTAACTTGTATGTTAATAGGTATGTTAACAGGCATGCTAACAGGTATGTTAATAGGTATGCTAATGACTATGTTAACAGGTATGCTAACAGGCATACTAACAGGGATGCTAACAGATATGCTAACAGGTATGCTAACAGGTATGCTAACATGTATGTTAATAGGTAAGTTAACAGGTATGCTAACAGGCATACTAACAGGGATGCTAACAGATATGCTAACAGGTATGCTAACAGGTATGCTAACATGTATGTTAATAGGTATGTTAACAGGTATGCTAACAGGTATGTTAATAGTTATGCTAATGACTATGTTAACAGGTATGCTAACAGGTATGCTAACAGGCATACTAACAGGGATGCTAACAGGTATGCTAACGTGTATGTTAATAGGTATGTTAACAGGTATGCTAACTTGTATGTTAATAGGTACGTTAACAGGTATGCTAACAGGCATACTAACAGGGATGCTAACAGATATGCTAACAGGTGTGCTAACATGTATGTTAACAGGTATGCTAACAGGTATGTTAACGAGCTATTTAATGTTGTAGAAGCTGATGTTGACGTCTGCTCTTCTGAGTTTAAATATTCAGACAATGAACGACACGCTGACCCTCCTCTCCTGACAGAACAAACATCATGGGTTTAGTCTCGCCGCAGCTCTCCCTCTGACATAAACTTTTAAGCTCCTCCCCTCGTTCACCTGTAGCCATGCCTCTTGTCCGGCCTCCTCGTCTCTACCTACCCCGTAGGCCGGCCCGCCTGAATCGCTGCCATCTCCCTCAGAGTCTCCTCTGAGTACAGGCCAATGGGGGAGTTATACTGCTTCCTGTGGGCGGGGCTGACCGCCGCCGCCACCGTCGCCCTCCTCCCGGGAGAGTCTGCTTCTGCAGGCCCGGAGGAGGCACTGCAGGCCGACAGGCGGCCATTGACTTGCACTGTCTGAGGCTTCAGGTGTTGGAGGAGGAGTCAGGGGAGAGGAGACGAAAGGGGGGGAGCGGAGAACTATCAATATCTGATCAATATGTTTTATAGTCGTTCTACTGTAGGTGTCTCACTAACAGTAAGTAAAAGTAAAATGTTTGTAAATATTTGTGAATCTTAGTTTTTCTTTATTTTAAAATATTGATTATCAGAATCTGATAAATGTTTTTGCCACTTCCTTTGTCTCAGTAATATACTGTAAATACATGATTTATTTATGATTCACTATTATCGATACCTTATCAATATCTCTAACAGCTTAGTGATCAATTTAATTTAACATAAATAAAATCCTGTTTATTGCTGTTATTGATGAAAAACTCATATAACCTCTTTTCATCTCCTCAGGGATCAAAGACATTGATTAGTTACACTTATTCATTTAGTAGAGGCTACAATCATTTTTATTTTATCTGTTGTCTTTCTTCCTGTGTCCACCGGGGGGCAGCAGTTCACTGTGTTGAACCAGTCTCTGTGTGTGTGTGTGTGTGTGTGTGTGTGTGTGTGTGTGTGTGTGTGTGTGTGTGTACAGAACTGTGCATATGTTTCAGTAACATGATGTTCAGATTCTCCATCATCAGTATCATCGAGTCCAAACACAGTCAGACCCTAATCCCAGATCATGGACTCAGTCTGGATCACATGACGACACTGAAGAACTGAGGCAGGTGTACTGAGGAGAACTCGAGCTGGGTTAAAGGGGGTCACAGCAAATCCTGATCTGATTCAGGATTTTACTCTTTATTGAACTTTAGATGAAGTTTACCAAGAAATAAAAACTGTTCATGCTTTTAATTTGAAAACATCCTCACTTTCCTGTTAGAGCCTGAAACATGTGTACAGTTCTGAATATGGAGGTGGATCAATAATAATGTCATCCAGAAACACAGAGACACAATGATCCACAAGCCAGACGATGATAAACAACAATAAACAATCAAACATCTGCAGAGTCAGAAACATGAAAATATAAACAGTGAAAACAACAACAACAAACAACTGCTCAGTTTCATTGATCTGCCTCTGCAGCAGTTGGCAGAGGGAGAATGCATTCTGGGTTATGTTACCTGTTGATGAGGGATCATGGGAAAAGTAGCGTCCATTCTTGGTGCCAGCATCGGAGCGGGACGCTTCGACCTGCGGCAGGAAAATGAAAACGTGTTGTGACAAACACATGAAACATACAACAGGTCAGATTTCCAGCTTTTATCTCCTAGCAACAAGTGACTTGAGGAGGAGGAGGAGGAGGAGGAGGACACCACCTGACACCACCCAATACCCCTTCACAATAAAATAACCCAGCCTCAGGTTTGACTGGATGTGCAGTGACAGTGTTCTGCCTCTGGGGGCAGTGAGAGGACAAAGTGTCATAGACAGGTTCTCACTTGGACATGGTGAGCGCCAGGTTGTAGTTGGCCATCTTGATCTTGTTCTGGGCCTCCAGGTGAGTCATCCCGTCCGTGCTGACGCCATCGATGGCGACGATGAGATCACCCTGGACCAGGTTACCCTGCGCTGCCTTGCTGCCTGGAGTGATCTGTATTAACACATATACAGAGACATTTAGACCAAACCAAGAGGTCCGGTTATAAAACAGAACAAGAACCACAGAAGAAGAAACAGTCCGTCAGAGACGTCTGACTCTGTCAATCACTTCATCATGAAGAGCTGTTTCAGTTTTCCGTGTAACAATCAATCAAATCGGGAAATAATGAATCAATAATCTGATGACTGAAACGTCTGAACAGTCCTTTAATCTGAAAATCCACCACAGGAGCTTTGTAACGTTCACCTGAGAGAGAAGGTGACCTGCAGTCACATGACCATCACAACAACAAGATGAAACAGGGTCTGAGGTCACATGACCAGTCATCAAGACTACAGCAGAGGAGGAGGAGCTGTGGCTCAGCTGGTTCCAGCTCCTCTCTAGTAAACAGGGGGTTCTGGGTTCTGGTTCTGGGTTCTGGTTCTGGGTTCTGGTCCCAGCTGTGCCTCAGACCTGAACCTGAACCACGTTTCAGTCTGTTTTTAGAAGAGAGAAGAGACGTCTCCTCCACAGGTTCAGGACTGAGGCACAGCTGGGACCAGAACCCAGGACTAGAACCCAGAAGCAGAACCAAAGACCAGAACCAAGGACCAGTCTCACCTGGTCTCCTCTGATATAAAGTCTCCAGTAAAGACTGAAACACTGCTGACCTTTGACTTTTCAGAAGCCTCCCTCCTCTGTGGCGCCTCCTGACACAAGTGTTCATGCCTGAGTGTTAAACCAGGACAGCTGTCCACACAGAGCTAACCCCACTGAGTCCAGATCCACAATCCCTCTGTCTCCATCCACTGAGCTATTCTAGCTCCAGTCTGAACCCTCTGACCTCTGACCTCTGATAGAAGAAGGCGAGGAGAGAGAGGGAGGAAAAGGTAGTAAACAAGGAGGTCAAAGATCGTGGAGGTGGAACCAAAACCACCATGTAAGTCTTTCATCCAGGACCAGGTCTCTTCAACAGGAGCAGTTAAACTGACACACACACACACACACACACACACACACACACACACACACACTGAAAAATATGAATTTATCCTTTAATCTGTTTGTGCGTCAGTGTCTGTAGAGAGAATAACAGGAGAAACAGGAGAGGTCTGCAGGATTAACACACACACACTGTGATAAAGGTTAAACAGCGCTCTGATACTTAGCTGTGCTTCTTATCTTGCTCTGACTCATCTGGCTGACATTTCCCTGAATGTGGTTAATGGACATGAATAAAACGTTGCCTCTGGAGACTGTTGGCTGCTTTTGGCTGTTAGCTATTAGCTGCTGTTGGCTGTGGTTAGCTGTTAACTGTTAGCTATTAGCTACTGTTGGCTGTGGTTAGCTGTTAACTGCTAGCTGTTAGCGGCTGTTGGCTGTGGTTAACTGTTAGCTGTTAGCTGCTGTTGACTGTTGGCTGTGGTTAACTGTTAGCTGTTAGCGGCTGTTGGCTGTGGTTAGCTGTTAACTGCTAGCTGTTAGCTGCTGTTGGCTGTGGTTAGCTGTTAACTGTTAGCTGTTAGCTGCTGTTGGCTGTGGTTAGCTGTTAACTGCTAGCTGTTAGCTGCTGTTGGCTGTAGTTAGCTGTTAACTGTTAGCTGTTAGCTGCTGTTGACTGTTGGCTGATCTGTCTTCATGCTCCCTGCACACAAACAGGATCACCACTGCTGCTATCACTTCACCTGTAGTTAGCAGAGGTTAGTTAGCAGAGGTTAGTTAGCAGAGGTTAGTCAACAGAGGTTAGCTAGCAGATGTTAGCTCCACCTCCTCTGACGGCTGAAACGGCGCTGTGGCTCAGCTGGTTAAAGCGCCTGTCTAGTAAACAGGAGATCCTGGGTTCAAATCCCAGCAGTGCCTTGTTGCTGCAAAGGTAACCCCTTAAATCAAGTGTCATGTTTCTCTCATTTAATGTCCATATAAAGAACATTTAGGATCAACCACACAGTTTCACACAATCAGATGGCAACACACACATTCAGGAGCAGAGAGGAGTGTCCAAAGGAAAGTCTACTGACCACACTCAACGACACATGTACCTGTAACCACGCCCAACAGTGATGTCACAGGGTCCTGGAGTACACCTGTACATCACTGCAGAAAGAAGAGGAGTTAAACCACTGGAGGTCAGCAAAACAAGACCCACCGGGCTGTTCGGTTGCTCTTTACGGTCAAGTTTAGAGACACATGAAGTCAGAGCAAAGACGTGACTGGAGGTGAAGGTGTGATTGGGTTAGGGTTAGGGTTAGGTGCTGAATGAAGAGGACCAGACAATCAGTCCAGGAGTCGAGACTGAGGGAATAAAGGAAGATGGACGTCGACCTCCCAGCAGGGCTCAGGCTCATGTGAACACCTTGCTGAAGAGCAGGAGAGAAGCTCACAGGCGCTGTGCCTTAGTGGTTAAAGCACCTGTCTCGTAAACAGGGGATCCTGGGTTCAAATCCCAGCAGTGCCTGATGATCAGTGGACTTCCTACTCACTGGTCTGTAGCCACAATAGCAGGAGACATGAACAACAGACCACTCTCTCTCTCTCACACGTTGCTCCGGCTTCATCTGGTGACTCTGTGTTATGCACATGATTCACATAATTTTCAAACCATCAGCGACACCTCATCTCCTGTGGGTGGAGGCATTGACATCCCGTTTCTCACTCATTTATTAAGGTTTTTCCTGTAACTTCTTCACTGGTGGGTTCTTCTGTACAGTGGCGCTGTGGCTCAGTGGGTTAAAGTGCCTGTCTAGTAAACAGGAGATCCTGGGTTCAAATCCCAGCAGTGCCTCATAACTGAACCGGTTCAGCTTTAATGTCTTTCAGTGGTTGACAGTTCAGTACAGGTGAAAACCTTTTACTGATTATATCAGACATGAGTGAAAACACACGATGAAGGTGGACATCCTCCTCCTCCACAGCTGACTGACTGTATAAAACTTTATTGAGCCTAAAGCTGACACGTTTCACCATGACCAAAGTTCTGGACCGCTGAAGTGACACAGACGGACACCAGGTCACATCCATTCCTGCTCATTCCCTAAACATCTCTACGTTTCCATGGCAACTGTGCAAATGAAGATCATGTGATGTGACTGACATGTCCAGAAAAGCCAACTGTTAAACTCACACACACACACACACACACGCACACACACACACACACACACACACACACACAGCTTGTCAGCTCAAATTTCCTGCAGCGCCTGAAAACACAGGAAGCTGTTGACACTCTGCTCTCCAACGGCACATGAACACACCGTCCTCTAACACACATGATCCAACACTGAATGAAACAATGTACCCGCATGTTTCCTGCTCATCTTCATTTCAGAGACATTTAATATCAGATTCTTCTGTTTCTCTGATCTTTCAGTCTTCACCTGGAAACACCTGATTTATTCTGTGAGATAAAACCTTCACATCACAGAGCAGCTGTGGCTCAGCTGGTTAAAGTACTAATGTAAACAGGATGTCCTGGGTTCAAATCCCAGCAGTGCCTTTAAATAAAGTCCCATTTAATCCTCCTCCTCATCCACCTCAAAGATGAACCTTCAGACTAAAAACACCTTCAATATTTCACTACAAAAAAACTCTTTCTTCAGCTCTACACGACACGATATGATTGGTTCTTTAAAGCTCCATGTTTCTTCTTCTTCTGTGTTTTATTTGAAGTGTTGATCCATCAGAAGATATAAAAACCATCTCAGTGTAGTTTTACATCTCCTCTCTCAGGCTTCTCTCTGGAGCTCTAGTAACAACAGGTCTGTGAGCCAATCAGAAGAGAGGAGGCTCTGAGCCTCTCTTCTGATTGGCTGACTGTTTTCTGAGTGATCCAATAAAAATAAAGCAGATTTCAGGTAAAAACACTCAGAGAAACCAAATCCTGCAAGGTTTGGATGGTGGGTCCAGGTGGGCGGGGCTTGGTGACTGCTTTGTTGTGACATCACAAAGTTCCAGAAGTCCTGACGGCTGGTTTTAAGGCTCAGTTTCTGAATACAGGCTGTGTGCATTTCTCTGTGGACTGAGGCTTTGATACTTTCACAGTATTAATATAGAAGCTAGAGCTGATCTATAATCACACTACACATGGACACAGACCTTTACACTGGAGGAGCTTTAACATGAGAGGCATCATCATCAGTAACTCCATCTCATACAGAGCTGTGTGTGTACAGTGTGTAAAGTGTGTGTGCAGTGTGTAAAGTGTGTGTGCAGTGTGTAAAGTGTATTAGGGTCAGTGTGAATGGCTCAGTCTGAATCTAGGCCACTCTGGACAGGCCTCACATTGTTGGAGCTCAGTGAGAGAATGAACTGGTTCAGTGTGTTTGGGTTTAATCCAGAGAAAGAAGAGGAAGCTGTGACATGATGTAACACAGAGGGTCGACACACAGCAGTGATAAAAACAAAACTATATTCCAGTCTGGTCCCTTCAGTCAGACCAGCTCCAGATCTTACACTGATGAGTCTCAGTCCACCAGCTGCTGATGCTCCATAGTGTTCACCTGTCTCCTGTTACTGTACACACTATACACACTGTACACACTAGTACCACACACTTGTACACACTGTACACACACTGTACACAGCACTGTACACCACTGTCACACACTGTACAACACTGTACACACTGTACACACACTCCGTTACACACACTGTACACACTGTACACACATGTACACACACTGTACACACTGTCACACTGTACACACTGTACACACACTGTACACACACACTGTACACACTGTACACACACTGTACACACACTGTACACACACTTGATACACCTCTGTGATGTGAAGGTTTTATCTCACAGAATAAATCAGGTGTCTCCAGGTGAAGAGTGAAGGATGAGAGCAACAGAAGATATTTAATGATCTGATGTTAAATGTCTAATTAAAAAAACAAAGTGAGGATGAGCAGGAAGTCATCACACAGGAAACAGACTCTCAAACTGACCTGATATCAGCTAACTGATCAGCTGATTGAGACACTACTGATGTTCACCTGTTCTCTGC